TCCCTACACGACGCTCTTCCGATCTCCCCAAAACCCCAAAACCCCTTAAAACTAGATATCAGGCAATCATAGGAAATCTGAAACTAATTAGAAAATTGAAATTGCATATGAATATTATGCACTTGAGTTTTATTTACTCGCTATACACACAAAAAATAAGTATGCTTGCATGTACAGGAGTCAAAAATTTTTATTAGTTGAGTTGCAAATTTCTATTGCTATTTAAAATGTTCCTCATATCTCAGAACTTATTTCAGTCCTTGTGACCTTATTCTTGAATAAGATTGTCTATTTCATATTGCTCAGGTACTCTCCAGTAAGTATTATCAAGGAATTTGTCATTTGAATTTGCCCTAACTCCCCAGCAATCCCTGTAGTTTATCTTAGTCATGTCTTCTTCATTAGGAATAAGGCTGCTAGGCATCTTAAATTCGACTGAAAGTGTTCTTTGTTTAGTTCTCTTATTAGCACCTTTATACTGCTTAATCAAGATACTTAGATCTTCATTATCTCCATAAAGATCATCTTTCTCGTCTTTATTATCTTGATTGAACTGCTCTACTGGGTGTCTATTTAAATTCTCAATATTATTTTCATCTCTAATTTAATCACTATTGTGTCGTGATCTTGCTTCCTCTCTTTCTTTTATATAATCCTCCAAACGTTTTTCCCATCTTAGTTTTTTTGGATCAAGTGTGTTTTATCTGAATTCTATCCATTTCTAATTCTTTTGATATTTTCTAAATTTCTCACCCTGTTTATTATCTGACTCATCTTCATCGTCTTCGTCATCAATTAATTAGTTTATTTTTAGCTGAGGCTATTTTTCTACCAGATTTCTCAGATTTATTGCAATTTTGAGAATATTTCCTAAATTAGCTTTTTCCATTTCTTAGCCTGATGAATATTTAAGTCTTTCATCAGTTTCTAAATGCTTCATTATAAATTCTATCAAGAAGTCTACATCCTCTTCATCATAAATGTCTATTGAAAGTGAAATGATCTTAGATGCAGTTTAAAGAGCTATACTTGAAAACTAAAACTCTTCCATAGTTTATATCATAGTCTTCAACAAATTCTTTCTTAAAACTGGAGTAATCATGATATCTCTGTCAAATTAGGGATAGTTATTTAATGTTCTAATGCACCAATATATTAGTTCAAGAGCTCTTAGTCTTGTCAAACCAAACTTTCTCTGATAGCAGCCAGCTTAATTAATAATCACAAATGGATCTTAGGAAATAGGATCTGGCTAGGTAATGATGAGTAAGCAAGTGAACATCAAGTCGAGGAACATCGTGCCAATGACCATAGTGAAATCAGATATAATATCCATATCAAGGTTCTTATCAAATGTTGGGAATTATTGAATAACTTTTGCTAGTAAGCACAAGCCATAGGATTAGAATTTATTTGTGCAATCACACGATAGTCGAATCATTTATGTGAGAATTTAATTTGAGATAAGCTTTTTGAAAATAGTTTCATAAGTTGCAGCATCTTCTAAAAATTAGTAAGATGTGAGGCATTGATCAAGATTAGAAGTGTTTGAGTTCATATTCTGAATGAGCCTTATTATTACATGAATCTACCTTTCTTCAAGTAATTCTTATAGTTATTTTACTCTTTGCTTATCTTTTTCTACCTGAGCATCCTTTTCTTATTTAGCTTTATCTTGCTGCTTCTTCTTTTATTTAATATTGAGTTTTGTAGTTGCAATACTTGAATCTTCTTCTATATCTATCTCTACTCTATTGAAATGTATCATATCATCAGAATTATTCTCCTATTGTTTTGGAGGAGGTTGTTACCTTTGACTCTCCTTTATTTAATCGAGCAATCTTTTATGCCTTTCCTCAGGTACTAATTTTAATTCAACTTTTTCTTCCTCTTCAGGCTTAGCTTCAATGCTAAAATCTAAGAAATGCCTCATTGTTAGATCAAATTGTAAATTGCTAAGATGCTGATATATCTTACTAAAAAATTTTGATTCATTATTCAAGATGTATTCTAGAAAAATGTAACTTTCCTCATCAAGTAACATTTTGATAATTCTGATAAACATTTTGATAGAGTCCATACTCACATTTCTTTCTTCGTTAAGAAAGTCTAATAGCAATTCAATATATTGATTCTTTTTCTATGAATCATTTTTACTGATATCAATCTGTTGTGCTGACCCTATTTCTATTTCAAAGTCATTTATTTGCTCAAAGTAGGTTTTTAATAGCTCTTCTTAAGAAACCTAGGTCTAATTTGCTACCTCAGTTTCTAAATCTTAATTTTGAGTGGTATCATCATTATGATCCTCTAATTTCGATTCTTCATTATGGGCATTTTCCTCTTTTTCATCTGCTTTTCTTTTTCTCTGATTATCGTGTTTCTCTTCTAAATTTCATTAATCAGTTTTTCTTACCAATTATGAATGGTTAGTCACTAAAAAATTTCTCGAGCTCAAGCAAATTTAGCTGCTACTCTTAAAGGAATGTCCTTAGCTTATCATCTCTCTTTAAAATGTCTTTTATGTCAAACTATGTCAGCTTCTAGTAAGCTTTAATTATGTCATAAAAAAACTGCAAAGATTTTATCTGTTTGCACTCTAAGTTTTCATTCATCATTTCTGGTTTATTCCTTGTTCCTGTTATGATTGTCCTCTATAGTTATTTCGACTTGATGATCAATTAACCTGCAGCCTAAGTTAATCTATTATATATAATTATTAGACTCATTAACTATTCTATTCTTACTTATCAGCTTATCCTTAGGCTAATGCTAGTTCTATTATTCAAGTGACATTCTCTGGTAGAGTCAGGTAATTAGAAATCTCTTGTTATTCAATTCTCTGAATTATTTATTCATATTCCCACTAACTACTCATTTATTCTTGCAATTTAATCACATCATCTATTTTAACCTCAAGGTTATAGTGAGTGAGAAATCGATGCTTATCAGCTTAATTTACTGCTTTCATTTCTAGTGTAGACCTAAATACAAAAACTTCATTAATATGCACCAATTATAGTTAGAAAAAATACCTTGCTACAATTTTTAATAACAATGCCATTTTATTTTTATTAATATACTGTCTCTCTAATAATAATCATTAATACTATTTTATTTCATACCACTAATACATATGCTCATATCAAAGTCTTTATTTTGTTATGATGGGGTTTTGGGGTTTTGGGGTTTTGGGGTTTTGGGGTTTTGGGGTTTTGG